TCGTTCTTAATTTAGAGCCTCCTTACCATTTTCTATTTCAAAATTGAAAGTGTGCAATTTTCTGTTTCTAAATGACTCTCAAAAGGGCATATCTCACTGTTTTATCCACAATAAGTATTTAAACAGCTTTAGAACATTCCAAATGTCTTTTTGTAAAGGCAAATATTTTTTCTTTTCTATTTGGAAAAATGTAAAATAAAAGTTTAGTTGCTAAGCAGAACATATACGAGGCCATAAGGTCAAGTTGGTGGTCAAAGGTCAAGTTGGTGGTCAAAGGTCAAGTTGGTGGTCAAAGGTCAAGTTGGTGGTCAAAGGTCAAGTTGGTGGTCAAAGGTCAAGAGAGGACAGGTCAGGGATAATCATCAAACAGGGTCAAGGGGGCAGCCACAGGTCAAGGGGGCAGCCACGGGTCAAGGGGGCAGCCACGGGTCAAGGGGGCAGCCACGGGTCAAGGGGGCAGCCACGGGTCAAGGGGGCAGCCACGGGTCAAGGGGGCAGCCACGGGTCAAGGGGGCAGCCACGGGTCAAGGGGGCAGCCACGGGTCAAGGGGGCAGCCACGGGTCAAGGGGGCAGCCACGGGTCAAGGGGGCAGCCACGGGTCAAGGGGGCAGCCACGGGTCAAGGGGGCAGCCACGGGTCAAGGGGGCAGCCACGGGTCAAGGGGGCAGCCACGGGTCAAGGGGGCAGCCACAGGTCAAGGGGGCAGCCACGGGTCAAGGGGGCAGCCACGGGTCAAGGGGGCAGCCACGGGTCAAGGGGGCAGCCACAGGTCAAGGGGGCAGCCACAAGCAAGAGCAAAAGAAAGAGAGAGAGAGAGAGAGAGAGAGAGAGAGAGAGAGAGAGAGAGAGAGAGAGAGAGAGAGAGAGAGAGAGAGAGAGAGAGAGAGAGAGAGAGAGACAGAGAGAGAGATAGACAGAGACAGAGATAGACAGAGACAGAGATAGACAGAGATAGACAGAGACAGAGATAGACAGAGATAGACAGAGACAGAGATAGACAGAGACAGAGACAGAGATAGACAGAGAGATAGACAGAGACAGAGATAGACAGCCAGATAGACAGCCAGTCAGCCAGCCAGGCAGCCAGCCAGCCAGTGTCACACCCACTCGCAGACCACTCCACATACTCCACCACCACCACCACTACACATTTAGCCCGCGCGCTCGTAATCCACGCAATAAAAACATGAACCCCGAAGATGTGGATCAGCCCAATCAGCACCGCTCAAGATCCCAAGGCCAGGGGAAGCGTCGAAGGTGGCAATCAGGAGCCAGGTGAGGGAGAGAGAGGGAGGGACTCTCGCCATACCTGGCCCTCGTTCGCGGCTCTCGGGAATGTCTCGCTAATAATTAGATAACGCGTATCCTGTCATTAATGAACAACATCCTCGCTAACGTGTTCCTGCGTTATCTGAGCTGTCGGACGTGTTGAGGGGGGGGAGGGGAGGCTGTTATCGAGAGGGGGAAGGAGGGCGGGGGGGGGGGACAAGGGTAGAAAGAGGGGGGGGGGGGAAGGGAAGCAGAAGAGAACTTAAGTGTGATGGTGTTAGACATAAACTCACGTAAGCTAAAACAGGGTCAATGGCTCCGTAAAAAACAAAATACATTTTGGGGTCGAGGTTCCCACCTTATTGATTGATGAAGATTAAGCCACCCAAAAGGTGGCACGGGCATGAATAGCCCGTAAGTGGTGGCCCTTATGAGCCATTACCAGAATCATTAGCTGATACTGGAGATCTGTGGAGGTGCGACTGCACCCTGCGTGACGGGAGATGTCTCCCGTGCTCTCTCTCTCTCTCTCTCTCTCCCACCTTAGATGAACTCTCTATTATATATAGTCACAAGGAAAAGTTAGTCTATCAGCTATCCCTAAATAAAAAAAAAGGGAGAGAGTATAGGGAAACGGTGAATGGAGAGTGAAGGAAACTGTGAGAAGTGGGTTAGGACACGAGTGAGAGGTAAGGATAGGGGGGTAGGGTGAGAGGTGAGGGGGGTAGGGAGGGTAGTGAGAGGTGAGAGACAGTAGAAGCATCATTAGGTTGGAGACAGTCAGTACATTAAACTTCCCGTATATAAGTACTTTTTCAGAATATATTTAAAAATGAATAATTATTGTACGCCCGTCAGGCATGTTACTTAAAACTTTACGCTTCGTTAAACGTTAACGTTAACGTTTGACGTTCTTCGTTAAAACGTCCTTAATGACGTCCTTCGTTAAAACGTCCTTAATGACGTCCTTCGTTAAAACGTCCTTCGTTAAAACGTCCTTCGTTAAAACGTCCTTCGTTAAAACGTCCTTAATGACGTCCTTCGTTAAAACGTCCTTAATGACGTCCTTCGTTAAAACGTCCTTAATGACGTCCTTCGTTAAAACGTCCTTCGTTAAAACGTCCTTCGTTAAAACGTCCTTAATGACGTCCTTCGTTAAAACGTCCTTAATGACGTCCTTCGTTAAAACGAAGGACGATCCAGTAAACCAGTTTACAATTATACTGAAAGTCATTCTATGGTTTACCTCGAGGCCTGCTGAACCTTGGTATCATGTATAATGAACATAATAACTCCCAATCACATTGTCGAGTCATTATTCATCTTTGTACTGACAGAGGAGGAGTTATTAGGGGGAAGCGCCAAGCCATCACGACTATATAGCACTGGGAAGGGGTCAGGATAAGGATTTGGGATGGGACGGAGTGGGGGGGGGGAAGAATGGTGCCCAACCACTTGGACGGTCGGGGATTGAACGCCGACCTGCATGACGCTCTACCGTCCAGCCCATGTGGTTGGTTTGCACTGACAGAGAAACCTTGTGTTTCTCTCATGACTAATCATATTTCTTAAGGCTAGCCAACAAGGCTTCTTAATCAGTATACCTTTTGGTCATACTATACTTGGATATACTGTGTCTCTCAGCATACACCACGTGCTTGAGGAGACCGTCAACCGCCGCTGTCAGCGACGTCTTCGAGACAAGAGCAGAAGAAACAGGTCAGAGATCGTGATTAACTTGTACCCGAGAGACGAGGGTTCAAATCTACCGAACTGCACCGAAGGTAAAGGCTGCTGCTGATAGTACAGGCAGGCGTCGGGTCGTGCCACACTCAAATATCAGGACATATAAAGAATTTAGAACTATTAAACTGCTTCACTTCAATTAAGGCTTCACTTCCCGACCGTCCAAGTGGTTGGGCACCATTCCTTTTCCTCCGTCCCATCCCAAATCCTAATCCTGACCCCTTCCCAGTGCTCTATAGTCGTAATAATGAGGCGGAATAAGGAATGGTGCCCAACTACTTCGACGGTTTGTAGGGTTGGAGAAGCACAGGTCTTGCTTCTCATAGGTCTAGGTTGATTAATTGCAGGCCAAGATTGAATAGTTGCCTCGCATTGGCCGAGAGGAATTCTTCAGAAGCATTTAAGCTTTTTGTATTTATTTTTAACTTATTTTGTATTTTAAAGAATTACTGAACGACTTGATCATTTATAACCGAGATAGTGAGCACTAAATAAAACCTGAGGGAATAGGTCTATACTTTTTTTTAGCCTATTAATTACATCTGGCTCATAAACACATCCTCAACTTTAAGGCCAGATGTGACGAAGAATTCGAACGACATAATAGCCACATTATCACGCAACAGGTATAATAATGCTAGCATGGAGGAAAGGCGTAATAAATTAGACCTCACTCCCCCCCACACAGATACTGATAGGTATGTACTGATAGCCAAGTGTGATAAGGAAGTCTGATAGGCAAGTCTGTAAAACCCTAACCTAACCTACCAAAGCATAAAAAGGTGGATATTTGCCTTATGGTAAAGCCAATGGTTTTCCCATAGTACTCTGTAATTTATACGTTGGCGACCGTAATGAACAAAAATGAGACGTACTAGTTGAGAGGACAGGTTGGGCAGTGACTGTGGGAGGGAGGACGACGACGATGACTCCCTCAAGGGTGTCCCAGGCCTCCTCAAGGGGTGTCCCAGGCCTTGTCAAGGGGTGTCCCAGGCCTTGTCAAGGGTGTCCCAGGCCTCGTCAAGGGGTGTCCCAGGCCTCGTCAAAGGGGTGTCCCAGGGCCTTGTCAAGGGGTGTCCCAGGCCTCGTCAAGGGGTGTCCCAGGCCTCGTCAAGGGGTGTCCCAGGCCTCGTCAAAGGGGGTGTCCCAGGCCTCGTCAAGGGGTGTCCCAGGCCTCGTCAAGGGGTGTCCCAGGCCTCGTCAAGGGTGTCCCAGGCCTTGTCAAGGGTGTCAAGACCTTGTCAAGGGTGTCAAGACCTTGTCAAGGGTGTCAAGACCTTGTCAAGGGTGTCAAGACCTTGTCAAGACCTTGTCAAGGGTGTCAAGACCTTGTCAAGGGTGTCAAGACCTTGTCAAGGGTGTCAAGACTTTGTCAAGGGTGTCAAGACCTTGTCAAGGGTGTCAAGACCTTGTCAAGGGTGTCAAGACCTTGTCAAGGGTGTCAAGACCTTGTCAAGGGTGTCTACGCCTCGTCTCCTGGAGGCCACAGCTATTTAAACACACACAAAAGATAACACAGGTGTATTAGCGTGAGACCAGTCACCCCTTGTCAACACCCCCCCCCTCCCTCATTTCCCTCCACCGGGGTGGCCTTTCCGCCTCTCCCTTCGCATATTTTGGGGCAAACAAAATCACCCCCTAACACTGCTATACTCAAGGCTACTTTTTGCCTGCCGATTCTCTCTCTCCTCACCGCTTTCAAGGAGCCAATATGCATGAATGAAGCACTCGGACAGCGGTACAGAGGCATGGCGACCTTGGGCTCCTTCCAGTACCGCGTATTAGCTGGCTACGGGGCACAGGGAAGGGGGGGAATGGGTATGGGTAGAGTGGGGAAGAGGAGGGGGGATAGAGGAAGCTGGGAGCAGGGAAGGGGACACGGATATGGGGGAGGGTGGAGAGAGAGGGGGAGGGGGTGGTGGTGAAGGCAAAGGTTTTCTTTGTGTCAGGTAACCGGAATGATCACTCCTGAAGACATCCGGATTTAGGTATGCCAGATGACTCTGGTCTCCGCGGCCGTCTTACAGGTGGGACGGGAAGCTTGCGCCCCGCTCGGAGGCGTCGGGCGGGCGGTGGCGACGCTCGGAGGCGTCGGGCGGGCGGTGGCGTCGCTCGGTGGCGTCGGGCTGGCGGTGGCGTCGCTCGGTGGCGTCGGGCGGGCGGTGGCGTCGCTCGGCGGCGTCGGGCGGGCGGTGGCGTCGCTCGGAGGCGTCGGGCGGGCGGTGGCGACGCTCGGAGACGTCGGGCGGGCGGTGGCGACGCTAGGTGGCGTCGGGCGGGCGGTGGCGTCGCTCGGTGGCGTCGGGCGGGCGGTGGCGTCGCTCGGTGGCGTCGGGCGGGCGGTGGCGACGCTCGGAGGCGTCGGGCGGGCGGTGGCGTCGCTCGGAGGCGTCGGGCGGGCGGTGGCGTCGCTCGGAGGCGTCGGGCGGGCGGTGGCGTCGCTAGGTGGCGTCGGGCGGGCGGTGGCGTCGCTCGGAGGCGTCGGGCGGGCGGTGGCGACGCTCGGAGGCGTCGGGCGGGCGGTGGCGACGCTCGGAGGCGTCGGGCGGGCGGTGGCGACGCTCGGAGGCGTCGGGCGGGCGGTGGCGACGCTCGGAGGCGTCGGGCGGGCGGTGGCGACGCTCGGAGGCGTCGGGCGGGCGGTGGCGTCGCTCGGAGGCGTCGGGCGGGCGGTGGCGTCGCTCGGAGGCGTCGGGCGGGCGGTGGCGTCGCTAGGTGGCGTCGGGCGGGCGGTGGCGTCGCTCGGAGGCGTCGGGCGGGCGGTGGCGACGCTCGGAGGCGTCGGGCGGGCGGTGGCGACGCTCGGAGGCGTCGGGCGGGCGGTGGCGACGCTCGGAGGCGTCGGGCGGGCGGTGGCGACGCTCGGAGGCGTCGGGCGGGCGGTGGCGACGCTCGGAGGCGTCGGGCGGGCGGTGGCGACGCTCGGAGGCGTCGGGCGGGCGGTGGCGACGCTCGGAGGCGTCGGGCGGGCGGTGGCGACGCTCGGAGGCGTCGGGCGGGCGGTGGCGACGCTCGGAGGCGTCGGGCGGGCGGTGGCGACGCTCGGAGGCGTCGGGCGGGCGGTGGCGACGCTCGGAGGCGTCGGGCGGGCGGTGGCGACGCTCGGAGGCGTCGGGCGGGCGGTGGCGTCGCTCGGAGGCGTCGGGCGGGCGGTGGCGTCGCTCGGAGGCGTCGGGCGGGCGGTGGCGTCGCTAGGTGGCGTCGGGCGGGCGGTGGCGTCGCTCGGAGGCGTCGGGCGGGCGGTGGCGACGCTCGGAGGCGTCGGGCGGGCGGTGGCGACGCTCGGAGGCGTCGGGCGGGCGGTGGCGACGCTCGGAGGCGTCGGGCGGGCGGTGGCGACGCTCGGAGGCGGCGGGCGGGCGGTGGCGACGCTCGGAGGCGTCGGGCGGGCGGTGGCGACGCTCGGAGGCGTCGGGCGGGCGGTGGCGACGCTCGGAGGCGTCGGGCGGGCGGTGGCGACGCTCGGAGGCGTCGGGCGGGCGGTGGCGACGCTCGGAGGCGTCGGGCGGGCGGTGGCGACGCTCGGAGGCGTCGGGCGGGCGGTAATATTTCAAACATTACAAACCCGAGTTTTTTTTTTTAGATTAAGCTTGAAAGAGAGTTTTATTTTCCTCTTTATTCCATCTGGATTTTCCAATATTGATGATTTACATTTTTAATTTTTATCCCACATTTGAAAATAAAAAAAGGATTCAGTACTAAGCTTTAAAACCTGTTTGCAGAGAGCAAGCAAACTCAAAACAAATGAACAAACACGTTAATACACGCACAAAAGAAATCTCCTTAACGTGGTGTATTTGTTTGAATATGAGTTGTAACCGCGGGGTGGATTCGATACTCGAGTCCTTGGTTCGAATCCTACTCACCGCTCCTCCTGATTTTCTCAAGTTAATACAAACGTTCTCTATAATTAAGAGGTCATTATAGCGTCCTCTTTTATATAATTATTATACCAAGAAGCACTCAAATGTCACTTAGGCAAGACGGAGCTGGACTTTGCTCCAGGGCATCTCGAATTAAACAAAAATAATTGTTTTGTTTTCTAGTGAATAGCAAATATATGGAATAAATTACCAATTAGGTCAGTGGAGCGGATCACCAAGAACACACACACAAAAAGCCCACTAAACAAGTTCTCAGCTTCAGGCTGCTTTTTAATGTCCTCTTATCACTTGCGCAAAACAGCTGTCATACAATCATTGACATACAATCATTGTCATACAATCAGCTGTCATTGTAATTTTTAACATTTCAATACTATTTAAAAATGCATCTTTTCAGTTCCGCCTCTGTATCTTGCTCTGTATCAGTCACCGACTGTGGAGCGAATGATATCTTATTTTGAAACTGATATATTTGACCTTCTTGTGGCATAGAGCGAAGGGCTACAGTGCTGTGATAGCAGCACATTCGTCCGCGATCCTTACTCGACCGATTTCTTCGGTCGAGTACTGGTCGGGGAGGATTGACTGGGCGCAGCTCTC